ATACAAAACTACATTGGGCCAAGAATATCAGGCATATAGCAGCATGAATTTCACGGTATTCACCTGCATATCCTGTTTATCCTGAGTCTGAAGGACAGCAGGATTATCATAGCAAAAATAGCTGCCAAAGCCAACGAAGCACATCAATAACAGAATCAGAAGTTGTCGCCAAGTGACTGGAGGCCCCAAGGGGCCGGCATCGCCCAGGCTCTCTCATCCTTCTCCATTGTGCCCGTGGGAGACCGAGAGGCCCAAGGGGTGACAACTGCAGGACCCAGCAGAAAGCAGCACCTGCAGAGCACAGACAAGGCAGTGATCACCTGACTTCAAATATAAGAATAAAAGATAGTGAACTGGGGCAGATAAAATGAATGGACGAGAGACAGGTGCAACAGGAATATAGATTAATAGATTCATGTTGACCACATTTCAGACGGCAGCATATAGCACATCATTTAAGTAAAATAAATATGACAGAATGGTATAGGATTTGATCCTTGAAAGATTTTTTATAATTTAACACAAAAACAGTAAGGGAGGCCTCATGGAAGAAACTTGAACTAGGCCTGGGTTTTTCAACTCTTTCAAATGTGAAACTGCTGGCAACATACCTCTTTTTTCATTTTTGAGATGGAGTCTCATTCTGTCCCCCAGGCCGGAGTGCAGTGATGTGATCTTGGCTCACTGCAGCCTCTGCCACCTGGGTTCAAGCAATTCTGCCTCAGCCTCCCAAGTAGCTGGGAATGCAGGCACCTACCACCGCACCCAGCTAATTTTTGTAGTTTTTAGTAGAGCCGGGGCTTCACCATCTTGGCCAGGCTGGTCTTGAACTCCTGACCTTCACCCGCCTAAGCCTCCTAAAGTGCTGCAATTACAGGCATGAGCCACCATGCCTAGCCTACATCTTTTTTTAATATCATGGTAGTAATTGTACTACAGTATCTGTGATGAAGATAATATGTAATTAAAGGGAAAATATTTTGAATTCATCGATGCTTTCTTTTCTTTTTTTTTTTTTTTTTTGAGATGGATTCTTACTTTGTGGCCCAGGCTAGAGTGGCAGTGGTGTGATCTCGGCTTATTGCAACCTCTGCCTCCCAGGCTTAAGCCATTCTCCTGCTTCAGCTTCCTGAGTAGATTGCCTGGCTAACATACATTTTTAGTAAAGTCGAGGTTTCACCATGTTGGTCTGGTTGTTCTCAAATTCCTGACCTCAAGGGATCTGCCCGCCTTAGCCTCCCAATGTGCTGTAAATACAGGTGTGAGCTACCATGCCCAGCCAATCACATCTTTTTATATTTGAAAAATAGTGAATGTGTGATGTGTTAATGTTTAGTCTACAGTGTTGTTGTACTCTATGGGTTTTGGGCTTTCTCTTTGCCAACTTGGCTGATTGGCAGAAGTTTGCATGCATAAGTTGAGTACCGTTGAGTTAAGCATTCAAAAAAAAAGCAAGTAGAATTTCCACAGGTAAAATAGAAGAAAAGGGGTCCATAGATAGGAGAAAAACTATCAGAAATAGCATGGTTGCTTCAGAGTGGGAGAGGGCATTTTCAAGTAGAGTGAAAATTGTGTACTTTATATCTTTAGGGCTACCCTCTTAGGTGAATTTGGTTGACATTTTAGAGATTGAAAACAATTTAGAAGGTCTAAGGCAGTTTTTCATGATGAGGATTCCAGTCAGCTATTGTTAAGCTTTTGAGTGAATCTAACCAATCAAGAGTAAGTGACATGGAAAAGTTGACTTAATGTTGTCAAGGAATCAAGTGGTAAGCGGCTGCCAGTGGGATCAAGCGCAGGGGCTTTGTGGCACTGGCTTTCAGGTCCTTTTACATAGACTCTCTCTTTTTTTTTTTTTGAGACAGAGTCTCACTCTGTTGCCCAGGCTGGAGTGCAGTGGCACAATCTTGGCTAACTGCAACCTCCACCTCCCAGGTTCAAACAGTTCTCCTACCTCAGCCTCCCAAGCAGCTGGGACTACAGGTGTGTGCCACCAAGTTTTGCTGTTTTCTGTTTGCGGCTTTCAAACCCATAATTAGAAATACTTTACGTCATGACCCAGTGCATACTTATGTGTATGTAGATGAGTGAATAAAGCACATGTAGATTATATAAAGTGAAACCACTTGTGATAATAAACTCTCATGTTTTCTATTTTTGTTAACAAAAAAACTGCTACTGACCCATTAAATTGCTTTTGCAGCCCGGTTTGGAAAACGAGTCCATATAATCAGTATATCCTAACACTCATGTAGGCACTAACTCACAAAGAGTAACAGGATGAGAAGATAAAGATTTAACTCTTATTCGTGTAATCCACTCTTCACAGCAGCTGTTCCAGCCTCTCTTCCCTCAAGTCTTCATGTTTTCCCTTCAATAGATAACCTCCTAAATTATGGAAAGGAAGGCCCTAAGGTGGGCTAACATTCCTTAATTTTTTATTTCTTCTGAGTATCTCATTTACAAATTTTGATTTGTACAGTTTCCCCATCTAGTTACTATCTTCAACTGTTAAGTTTTTGGTATAAATTGTCCAAATTACTACCCTATTCAATAATCATTTACAGTCTTTTTAAATTCCTTTTTACTAAAAAAATTGGATTATCAAAGTCACTGACTTTTTGTACTTTGAGTCCTGTGGCATTTCAGAAGTGTTATTCAGAAGCATTTGTTATTAATGATCTGTCTCTTTTTTAAACTTAATCTGCACCTCCCCCATGTTCAGGAAAAACAGTAAAAATTCATACTTGCTTGTGGTGAACAGTTCAAGCTGTTTTAAAATGAGCAGATCAGAGAGAAAAAGATCTCATAACACTACACTATTGTTCGTTAACTGTTGTTGTATATTGATGTCCTGTTTCTGGACATTTTTCTATGCGTATACAAGCACTCTCCCACTTTCTTTCCCTTTTGTTTCCCCTTCCCTTCCCTTCCCTTTCACCTCCTCTCCTCATCTCTCCCTGCCCTGTTTCTTTCTCCCTTTCCCTTTCCTTTCCGCTTCTGCTTCCCCTTCCCCTCCTTTCCCTTCCTTACGTCCTCCTCCTTTTTTTTTTTTTTTTTTTTTTTTTTTGAGAAAGGGTCCCACTCTGTTTCCCAGGCTAGAGTGCTGTGCAGTAGCACAATCACAGCTCTCTGAAGCTTCGACTTCCTGGGCTAAAGGGATCCTTCCCACCTCAGGCTCCTCAGTAGCTACGATTACAGGCATGAACCACCATGCCTGGCATCCCAGTTTTTCTTTTTCTTTTCTTTTCTTTTTTTTTTTTTTTTTTGAGATGGTGTCATGGTGTCTCATTTTATCTCTAGGCTGGAGTACAGTGGCACGATCTCAGCTCACTGCAACCTCTGTCTCCTAGGTTCAAGCCATTCTTCTGCTTCTGCCTCAGAGTAACTGGGACTACAGGCTTGCGCCACTATGCCCAGCTTATTTTAGTATTTTTAGTACGGATATGGGGTGTCACCATATTGGCCAGGATGGCCTCAGTCTCTTGAACTCTTGGTCTGCCTGCCTTGGCCTCCTAAACTGCTGGGATTACAGATGTGAGCCACTGTGCCCGGCTCCCACTGTTTCTTTAAAGACAAATGAGATTATTTTAGAAATACCTGCTTTTAAAAATGTAACAATAGGTTCCTCATATTATTCCATGACAGTACTTAGTACTGATATTTTCCTGGTGGATATTTTTTTTCTGCCATTAACATGGTAAGCTCCACAGCGCTCTCTGATGCTTTGTTCTCTCCTTTTATGTAGACCAATGGTTAGAGTAACTTGGTAAACAATGTGCGTTTGTTCGATGAATGAAAACTATTTAATGAGCTGAGAATTTCTTTTCTCACTGATCTGAAACAACCACAGTCATGCCTCTGATGGTTGGACACATTGAACAGTAGAAGAATTAGAAATGGTATTGCAATGAAGAAATTTAAAGAGATCATCTCAAGCAACTCCTAGATAAGAAGAAAAATAAATAAATAAAATAAATTTTAAAAAGAGGTCAGTGTACTAGAGGGGACCTGGTGGCTAGTTTAGGTTTTAGTCAAAATCTTTAGAAAGATTTAGAAAGAGATAATATTTAAGCTGAGTACTGAATGATAATCAGAAGACAAAGGGAGAAAGGTATTTCCAGTAGAGGCAACTTTCAGTACCAAGGCCACAAGACAGGAATTTAATGTTTTTTGCCCAGTAAGGCTGACTTGACCTCTTTGGTTTTGATTAATATATACAACTCATTGTATTGTTCTTTTGACGATTCCTGAAGAATAATTGCTAATTAAATGTCAGTGATCTGGAAATGCATTGTCTAAAATAGCAGTCATAAGCCGTATTTCAAGTGGCTGGTGGCTACATTATTGGACAGCACAAATACAGAACATCTTCAATGTTATAGTTCTGTTTCACAGTGCTGTTCTGGAAAGTCATTAAAATATAAACTTGAGATTCTTTTTGCTGCTGTACCCCTAGAGTTTGATACATAAATGCCGAATAAATATTTGATAAATGATGAAATGAATAAATGGACAGATGGAGGCAGTGTATCTGTTCCTGGACAAGGAACAAAACATAAGCCTAAGTTTTGAGATGAAAAAGATGACATATGTTTGAGGGACAGAAAGAAGACTGGCTAGAACAGAGAGGACTGAAAGTTTGAAATCAGCATAGAGAAATTGGTGATGTTAAACCTTCTGAATTTTCTTTTAAGTACATTGGGAAGTGATGGAAGGGTTTGTAGTATAGCAGTAATGTGATCTAATCTGATCTGAATGTGTTTTTAGCAGATGATTTCTTCTCATTTTACTAGCTCTCTTGAGAGTTTAAAGTGATAGCTGTGACAGTTTATTAAACCAGTTATTTGAGTAAGTAACTGCCTGTGGTGAATCCAGGTTATTTGTTTACTTCATTTTTGATGTTAGTGCTGGCACCCTTGTTTTGTGTTTGTTTTAATGATTCTATACTTACAAGCAGGAACTTACAGGCAAGAACTTGTTCTTGTTCTTTTTTCCAGTGAAGGTGGTGTTTTTAAGGCTCATCTCACTTTCCCAAAAGATTATCCCCTCCGGCCTCCTAAAATGAAATTCATTACAGAAATCTGGCACCCAAATGGTAAGTTTATCTAGTTTTACTTTTACATTTGCAAATATGTTGGCCTGTCATCGAACTGTTCAAGGTCAATAAGATCTATTTCTCAGTGAAATTGCTTTGGCATTTTGGTACTGTGTTCATTGTGCACATGGTTGCGTACTAAAACCTTTAAAAGAGGAGAGGCCAGGCGTGGTGGCTCACACCTGTAACACCAGCACTTTGGAAGGCCGGGCAGGAGGATCTCTTGAGGTCAGGAGTTGGAGACTAGCTTGGCCAACACGGTGAAACCCCATCTCTACTAAAAATAAAAAAAATTAGTTGGGCATCATGGCACCTACCTTAATCCCAGCTATTTGGGAGGCTGAACTTGGGAGGCACAGGTTGCAGTGAGCCAAGATTACACCACTGCACTCCAGTGTGGGCAATAGAGTGGGACTGTCTTAAAAAAAAGAGAGAAGGCAAAATAGAGATCATGTGGAAAAAGTTATTTTTTATTTATTAGTTTTCAGCTTGGTTTGAGACTTATATTTTAAACCAGAGGCAAGGTTACTGAGTGATAACATCAGTGGAGCTCCTCTAATTGAGGGGATAATTACCAAGGTATTAGATGATTCACTGGCTATTACAAAGAACACAAATTAGGAAACCTGGATTTGTAATTTGTATTTTTTCATATTATTTTTATACCATGGACAACTCTTAATTTCTATGTATATTCTTAGGTCTAAGGTTACCGACAGCATCATAGGAAACAACATTTTTATTATATTTTTTTAAGCCTGGAAAGCATCTAGTATGGCTGTGCATGTAGCAATGACATTGACTAAAGAAGAGCAACCATTTCAGATCCACATTATGGCAGTTCTCCTGCCTGGGCAGCTGCCACTGGACTCTCTCCCCTATGTGTAAGCCCCCAATAAAACCCTGTGTCTCATTTAAAAAATTAAAAAAAAAAATCCTCTATTTTTATAAAGTAAAATAAAATCCCCAAAGGCTAGGCTAGATAAGCTTTATTTATAAAACAGTCTCTGAACTTTTGGCTTTGTTTTGTATGATAGAACTTGCAGGGATTTCTAATTATTTTGACTATGTAATCAGAGTTGTCTCTTTAGGCTATTATACTCATTTGCATTTTGCTTCTCATCAAGGCTTCTGGGTGCAGGGAATAGAAACGCATATATTAGTTTAAGCTGGAATCAGTGAGACAGGAATGAATGATTGAACAAAGTTAAACAAGGATTTATCGGAAGGGTATGGAGTTTGTCATAGAAGCCAAGGCTGGAAAACAGACGGGCATATGCGAGACTGGGACTGGCACATGGAAAGCTACTGGGAGCCAAGGGACTTAGCATAATTTAGTGCTGTATCTGAGGCAGCAGTGATTGTAAAAGATAGTTATTTTTCATGTCAGGAAGAAGGAGAAACTGTCTTTGACAGTTTGTGGCAGAGCGAGTTAGCGGCAGTCCTGCATGATGGGTGGATGCATGAATGGGTGACACTTGTCTCTTGTACTTTGACCTTTCGTCTGTTTCTTCCTAGACTTTTGGCATTTCTTCTACCTTCACTTGCATCACTTGATTATAATAGGCACCTATTTCCAAAAAAGATGGGACAAAGACTTGAATGTTGGCTTCACCACAAATTAGCTGTGTAGCTCTAGGCAAAACTTCTTGGAGCCTTAAGCTACCTTGCCTGCCTGCCTGCCTGCCTGCCTGCCTCCCTGCCTCCCTGCCTCCCTGCCTCCCTGCCTCCCTCCCTCCCTCCCTCCCTCCCTCCCTCTTTCCTTTCCTTTCCTTTTCCTGTTCCTTTCTTTTCCTTTTCCTTTTTCCTTTTTCCCCTTTCCTTTCCTTTCCTTTCCTTTCCTTTCCTTTTCCTTTTCCTTTTCCTTTCCTTTTCCTTTTCCCTTTCCCTTTCCTTTCGTTCCCTTTCCTTTCTTCCTTTTCCCTTTCTTTTCCTTTCCTTTCCTTTTCATTTTCCTTTTCCTTTTCTTTCCTCCTTCCCTGCCTCCCTTGTTTCCCTTCTGTGCTGTCCTGTCCTGTCTTTTTTTTCTAAGACAGGGTCTCACCCTGCCACCCAGGCTGCAGTGCAATGGCATGATCACAGTTCACTGTAGTCTTGACCTCCTGGGCTCAAGTGATTAAGCAGCTGGGATGACAGGGTTGCACCACCACACCCAGCTAATTTTTTTTTTTTTTTTTTTAAGATGGGGTTTCATTATGTTGCACATGCTTGTCCTGAACTCCTGGGTGCAAGTGATCTGCCCACCTTGGCCTCCCAAAGTGCTGGGATTACAGGCATGAGCTACCACGCCAGGCCTATGTTTTCTATCTGTGAAAATTGAATGAAAGCATATATGTAAGCAAGTACATGGTACTTCCCTTCTGGTAAGAAGAAAGTTAGCAATCATCTAGGTAGTTTAAGAGGACTATTGCTAAAATGGTGTTGTGTTTCATTTTAAGGTTGAAGAGACTTTATATTTCTTTATTTCTTTCATTGTTCTTTTTTTTTTGAGACAGAGTCTCACTCTGTCACCCAACCTGAGTGCAGTCTCACGGTCTTGGCTCACTGCACCCTCCACCTCTTGGGTTCAGTTGATTCTCCTGCCTCGGCCTCCTGAGTAGCTGGAATTACAGGTGTCTACCACCACACCTGGCTAATGTTTGTATTTTTAGTAGAGACAAGTTTTCACTATATTGGCCAGGCTGGTCTCAAACTCCTGACCTCAAGTAATCAGCCTGCCTCAGCTTCCCAAAGTGCTAGAATTACAGACATGAGCCACTGCGTCCAGCCTTGGATGGAATTTTGAGGAAGATGATGCTTGGCTTGAACTTCCTTCTTTAGGCTGTGAGCACTCATTTAATTAATGATTTTTAAAGCTGTACATAATAGTAGGTTGTCATGACAAAAATAGAAAATGACAAAAAATAAAAAAGCTATGTAATTGGTTTCGCTTAATTTTCCTTCTTGAAAGATTATACTCATGGAAGACTGGAAGGGGAAGTCAGGTGCTGAATCAGATAGCCGGGAGGTAGAGCATTTTAGTAGTAATTTGAGTAAAAAACAATAAAAGCTTGAACTAAGAATAGTATCACAGGAAGGGCAATTTACTTAGACTTGTCTGTCAGAGGTGGAGGGTAATGGAGAAGTAAGAATTTAGGATTGACTGGCTGTTTACAAAAATAATTATAGAGTGAAAATCATAACAAAATACTACTTTTTAGCAACTAGGATTCCTGTAATAAAAAAAGATAATAACAAGTGTCGATGAGGAAGTAGAGAAATTAGAACTCTCATGCACTACTGGCAAGAAGGTAAAATGGTGCAGATGTTTGGAAAAGAGTCTGACAGTTCCTCAAAAGGTTAAGCACAGTTACCATGACCCAGCAGTCCCAGTCCTAGGCACCTAGCCAAGAAAATTGAAAACACATTTCCAGAAAAAAACTTGAACATGAGTGTTCACAGCAGCATTTGTTATTCATAAGCGCCAAATAGTGGAAACAACACAAATGTCTATCATTTGATAAACAGAAAAACAAAATGTGGATTCATAGAACAGAATATTATTTGGCAATAAAAAGAAATGAATTATATGATACTGTTTTCTTAAGGAAAGAAGGAAATGAAGTAGTAGTACATGCTACAACATAGACGAACTTTGGAAAGATTATACTATGAGAACTAAGTCAGAAGTTAAAGGTGACATAGTGTATGATTCCCTTTGTATGAAATGTCAAGAATAGGCAAATCCATAGAGAACGGAAGTAGGTGAGTGGTTCCCTGCTGCTGGAGGGGAGGGGGGGATTGAGAAATGGTTGCTAACTGGTACCTGGGTTTCACTGTAGGGTGAAAAAAAATTCTAAAATTGATTGTGCTATTGATCGTACAACTCTTATAGACATACTAGACATAAACCATTAAATTGTGCTCTTCAAATAGGTAAATTGTACAGTAGGTGAATTATAGAGATGTTATAAAATTATCATAGGGGAAACAGTTTTGTGTGACCTTACATATATTCAGTTTTTCTTGAGGTATACTTGCTGCATCCAGTTAGATAGTTAGATAAAACTAGTTCAGGGTTGAGCAATGAGCTTAAGGGTCTTGGAAGTTACTGTATCAAGATGAGAGATAACATGATAATGAATGAGCTAATTTATCTAGGGGGAATATAATTAATGTTGGAGATTAGAATTACATCAAAAGTCAGATTGAGGAAGATGAAAATGGCAAGTGACTGAGTGACTGGCTCAAGAACCAGGGAAAAACAAGGGTACCACAGATGCCAGGGGAGGAAAATGTATCCAGCAAAGTGTTGTCATAGTATGAGTTGTCTTGGTCCAGAGGGGTGACTTCAGGTAGATTAAGGTACCCAGGAAAATAAATATGCTATCCAGACCACTCATGACACAGTTGTGGTGAGTAAATAGAGAAGATAAGGGTAAATCAGGTTTTCAGAACTCTAGATGCATGGCCTCAAGAAAAAGGAGCTAGCTAGAAGTGTATGCACTGTTTAGGTAGCTTCACTTTTGTGGGTTTTTTGTTTTGTTTTTTTTTTTTTGCTTTTGTTGTTGTTGTTTTTTAAAGAGTCTTACTCTATTGCCCAGGCTGCAGTGCAGTTGCTCACTGCAACAGCCTTTGCCTCCCAGGTTCAAGCAATTCACCTGCCTCAGCCTCTCCAGTAGCTGGGATTATAGGCACGTGCCACCACACCTGGCTAATTTTTGTATTTTTAGTAGAGATGGGGGTTTTACCATGTTGGCCAGGCTGGTTTCGAACTCCTGACCCCAGGTGATCCACCTGCCTCGGCCTCCCAGAGTGCTGGGATTACAGGCATGAGCCACCACACCCAACTCAGGTAGCTTAGTTTTAAGATAAAAACTAAACTGTGTTTTGAGTAGTTGGTGCCGAGACTATAGGCTAGCTATTTCCAGGGAAAATGATAGAATTTTCTTCATGCTAAACAGCACAGTGGAAGAAAACACTAAAAACAATAAAAAATTACAAATGATTTTTAAGTAGTGAATAGCACTTAAATTTGGTGTAAGGAACAAAAATATATTTTCAAAAGTAATAAACACTGAAAGACTAAACAAACAGGACCAAAGAGAAATGGCAGCTGCATGCAATATGATATTCTTAAGTGGGTCCTGTGTCAGAAAAATAAAGCCATCTCTAATGAACATTGAAATGAAAGAAAAAAATAAAAGGCAGAAATTAAATGGGGAAAGCTAAGAAACCTTTTGGCAAGAGAAAAGTAAACGTTATGTACTTAACTGGCGGCGGGCGCGGTGGCTCACGCCTATAATACCAGCACTTTGGGAGGCTGAGGCGGGTGGATCACGAGGTCAAGAGATCGAGACCATCCTGGTCAACAAGGTGAAACCCTGTCTCTACTAAAAATGCAACAATTAGCTGGGCATGGTGGTGCGCACCTGTAGTCCCAGCTACTCGGGAGGCTGAGACAGGAGAATTGCTTGACCCAAGGAGGTGGAGGTTGCGGTGAGCCAAGATCGTGCCATTGCACTCCAGTCTGGGTAACAACAGCGAAACTCCATCTCAAAAAAAAAAAAAAAATGTACGCGACTGGCTAACAGATAAGAACAGAGATTTCACAGAAGAGGAAAGACATACAGGTTATATCCATGGAAAGTTGTCACCTCAAAAGCATTTAGAAAAGTGAATTAAACCAGATATCATGTATGAAATTTAAACAGTATCAATAAAGAAAAATGTTCATCCTGAGGAAGCAATTAAATGGTCATCTCAGATTGCTAATAGCAGTATAAATTGATACAATCCTTTAAAACATAATTTGATAATAGGTATTAAGCCTAAAAATCTTCTCATTCTAAAATAAACTGTTTAAAATGATATGAGAAGGTAAAAAATACAAAGATCCTGGATTAGTGATAACCTAATTTTTTAAAAGGAAAATGAATCGTATATTGCTGTGGGTAGAATTCTGTACACACACTTAATAGCATGTTTTTAAAGAAAAATGACTTGGAAAAAATTCTTATTACACAGTAAGTACAGAAAACATTGTAAAAATAGTAATACTCTGAAATTTTTATGCTGAACTTTGTAGTGTTACAAGTTTTGATGTTATTCTTGTCCTGATTCTATTTCCGTTAATAGATTTTACTAGCAGATAGGGGTGGGTTGGGAAGAGGAACCTTAATTATAGAAAAACTCATACATAAAGCATTGAAGGCATGGGCCTCGTCCGTCATATATTCACTGCTGTGAATAGATGTGTTAGATGTGTGCCTGACATGCAGTAGGCATTAAAAAAGTATTTGGTGGCTGGGCGCCTGTAATCCCAGCACTTTGGGAGGCTGACATGGGAGGATCCCGAGAGTTCGAGACCACCTTGGCAACATAGTAAGACTAAATCTCTACCAAAAAAAAAAAAATTAGCCAGGAATGGTGCCATGTGCCTGTGGTCCCCGCTACTTGGGAGGCTGAGGTGGGAGGATCACTAGAGCCCAGGAGTTTGAGACCAGCCTGGGCAACATAGTGAGACCTCCACCTCTATGGGAAAAAAAAGGTTAGCAAGGCATCACGCCATGTGCTCATGGTCCCAGCTACTCGCGGGGCTTAGGCAGGAGGATCACTTGAGCCTGGGAGGTCAAGGCTGTACAGAGCTGTGATCATGCCACTACACTCCAGCTTGGGTGACAAAATAAGACCCTGTCTCAAAAACCAAAGCAACAACAACAAAAAACCACCAAAAAATAAGTATTTGTCTAATTAAGAGAGCAGTGATATTGATTGGTATGTACAAACCTTGATTCTGATTACCCAGAGTTCGTAACAGGATAAATATTAATGTTATGAAACGAAAAATAAGATTTAGAATTATATTTATTCACAAATTTGTTAGACTATGTAGAATAAGTGATGAATGAAATATACATAAATATTGTCACCATTTAAATTCCTTTCAAAAATTTCCTCCTCAAAGTATGCTTTAAAAAAACATTATAGTGGATAAATGTTGCCATAAAAGATTAGTTTCACAATAGGGATTATTTATATGATGTATACATGAATTTGTGGGTTAGGACTTTTTTTTTTTTTTTTTTTAAGACAGAGTTGTCTCACTCTGTTACCTAGGCTGGAGTGCAATGACACGATTTCTACTTGATGCAACCTCTGCCTGCCGGGTTCAAGCAATTCTTCTGCCCCAGCCTCCCGAGTAGCTGGGACTACAGGCACGTGCCGCCACACCCGGCTAATTTTTGTATTTTTAGTAGAGACAGGGTTTCACCATATTGGCCAGGCTGGTGTTGAACTTCTTTCCTAGTGATCCGCCCTCCTCGGCCTCCCAGAGTGCTGGGATTACAGGTGTGAGCCACCCTGCACGACCTTTTTTTAAAATCAATAAGTAATATTTTGCTTTTTGTTGAACCACTTAAACAGTTGTGTCAGCACATGTCTCCTAAAAATAAGGATGTTTTCTTATTAAATGTATTTATTGAAAGGAGGCCCCAGAGTGTCATATATGTTGATGAGTTTTCATTGGCAGTATGGCATGTTAGTTTTGTGAATTGAATATGCTTCTTTCCCAGAAAATACAATTTTGCCTTTATATGATTGTAAAAATACATTTCTTAGGAAAATCTCTGGGCCTTTAACTATCATTAATTTAAGTCTATAAGTTAGTGGGAAACTAGGAAACCATTACCTAGAAACTCAGTTGCTGGTACTTTCTCCAAATGAAAAACTGATTCTGTAGTTGCCATTTATTCATTTATTATGTCGTACTTATGACATGTGAATGTTAAGTACCATCCATCTATATACTAGATATTTTAATGTTTTTTACATAGATGAAAAAGATAGCTTACACTCCTATTGTATTTGTCAGATGGATCCTATGTATTTGGTAAAATCTATACTATAGTAGTCTTCCTAAAAAGTCAACACATTCCATTTTTAGACATGAACTTCTGTATATATGTGATGTTTTATAAAGATACTGTATGAATCAGGATCACATTTGTAACTGATATTTTATATATAGCCAAATTAGCAGTATATGAAACAACCCTCTTCTTTAATTTTGCAGTTGATAAAAATGGTGATGTGTGCATTTCTATTCTTCATGAGCCTGGGGAAGATAAGTATGGTTATGAAAAGCCAGAAGAACGCTGGCTCCCTATCCACACTGTGGAAACCATCATGATTAGTGTAATTTCTATGCTGGCAGACCCTAATGGAGACTCACCTGCTAATGTTGATGCTGCGGTAAGGTGGTCACATGCCTTCCCTTCTCTTCACTTTCCCTTTTAATAAAACTTGAACTATAGTTAGTATGTTTGTAAGTATGCATGTATATGTGCGTGCGTGCGTGCATGTGTGTATGTATCTCTTTCTATAATTATTTTTGACAAATATAAATAAATATATTTATTTACTTATTTATTTTATTTTTTTGAGACAGGATCTTTCTCTGTCACCTAGGCTGGAGTGCAGTGGCACAATCATAGGTCACTGCAACCTCAAACTCCTGGGCCCAAGTGGTCCTCCAGCCTTGGCCTCCCAAATTGTTGGGATTATAGGCATGAGCCACCATGCCTGGCTAAAAGTGCATATTTATTGTATACAATATGTTGTTTTGAAATATGCGTATGTTGTGGAAAGGCTAATTTGAGCTAATTGACATTATACAGTACCTCACATAGTTAACCAATTTTGTTGTGAAAACACTTAAATTCTCCTCTCAGTACTTTTCTAGAATGCTGTACATTGTTACTAAGGTGTAAACTGTGACACCAAATTTAAAATTGGGGGTGGAATGGGCAGAGCCTAAGTAGTTTTTTTAATGCAATCAAAATTAGTTATCAGGTTAAAATGGCTTGTTGTAACAATCAAATTTTTTTGTAAGCCTCATGGTAACCACAGAGCAAAATCCTACAGTAGTTAACACGAAAGATAAAAAGTAAGGAATTGAAGCTGGGTGTGGTGGCTCACGCCTGTAATCCCAGCACTTTGGGAGGCCGAGGCAGGTGGATCATGAGGTCAAGAGATCGAGACCATCCTGGTCAACATGGTGAAACCCTGTCTCTACTAAAAATACAAAAAATTAGCTGGGCATGGTGGCGCGTGCCTGTAATCCCAGCTACTCAGGAGGCTGAGGCAGGAGAATTGCCCGAACCCAGGAGGCGGAGATTGTGGTGAGCCGAGATCCTGCCGTTGCACTCCAGCCTGGGTAACAAGAGCGAAACTCCGTCTCAAAAACAAAAAAAAAAAGTAAGTATTTGAGTAATACCAGTAGAGAAAATCACTTATTATTCATAAAGGAAGACAGCAAGAGAGGAAGAAAGAACAAAGGGATCTATACAAAACAACCAGAAAACAATAAAATGGCAGTAGTAAGTTTATATTTCTATTTCTGTTTATAATTTTTCCGAATCTTTATGGAAGTTGCAGACATAGTTAAGCTTTGCTTTTAAATACTTAAGGCTGCATCTTTTAAAAATGACACAATCTTACATAAGTATAATAGTATTGTAAACTGGGTATGGTAGCTCATGCTTGTAATCCCAACATTCTGGGAGGCCCAGGAGGGAGGATTGTTTCAGGCCAGGAGTTGAAGACCAGCCTGGGAAACACAGCAAGACCTCGTCTCTACCAAAATTAAAAAAAAAAAAAAAAAAAATTAGCTAGGCATGGTGCTGTGTTCCTGTATTCCCAGCTGCTTTGGAGGCTGAGGTGGAATGATGGCTTGAGCCCAGGAGTTGGAGGCTACAGTGCGCTGTCTTCACACCCCTGCGCTCCAGCCTGGGTGACAGAGCAAGACCTGGACTCTTAAAAACAAAACGTGTTGTCATACCTAAGACAGTTTAATGCCTAGTCTCTATTAAAGTTCATATTATTATCCCCAAGTTTTCAATTTTTAAGTTCCACATCTACAGAAAAAAATGTGTTAAATGAACTTCACTATACCTTTCACCTAGATTCACCAATTGTAGAAATTTTGCAATTCTTCTGAAGTTTGAGAGTAGTTTACAGATATAACCCTTCACCCCAGAATGTTTCAGCATCTGTTCCCTAAGAACAAGCCTATCTTTCCATGTACACATAGTACAAGCCTGTCATTGATGTAGTATTATTATTGTTTACACATATTCAATCTATATTCACATTGGATTGGATTGTCCAGTATTCGTTACAGCTGCCACACCCCAATCCAGCAGCTTTTTTTTTTTTTTTTCTTTTTAAATCCAGAGGCTAGTCTAGGAACATCCGTTACATTTGTATTCAAGTTTCATTAGTCTCTTTTAGAATAGTTCCTAGTACCTTAGCCTTCTCTCCTTCTTTGAAAAGTCTTTGTTCTTATTCTTAGAACCTTTGTTAGTAGTATATACCAAAGCCAGGTTATAAAATTTATCCTTTTTCTTAGGTTAATAACAACTTGGGTGGAATCTTACACATAGACTAAGACACTATAGAGAACTCCCTCTGAAAGCTATGACTGAAATTTATAATAAAGTTGAACTAAAATTGGCAGAAAACTATTTTAACTTTCTGTTTAATCAAGTATTTGTCTCAACAATGTAAGAGATGATAAGGGAGAAGGGGTGATAGCTGCATTAAAAGGAATCCTAGGGAATCATTTTGAGAGAGAACTGATGAATGTTTATTTGGTTCATGATCAGCTGTCAGCAGTTTTAATAATGAGGTCAGAGCTGACAAGCCACCCTTTTATTTTATTTTATTTTATTTATTTATTTGTTTGTTTGACAGAGTCTTGCTCTATCGTCCAGACTGGAGTGCAGTGGCATGACCTGGTCTCCCTGCAACCACAACCTCCACCTCCTGGGTCAAGTGATTCTCCTGCCTCAGCCTCCTGAGTAGCTGGGATTAGAGACGTGCGCAGCACGCCCAGCAATTTTGTGTGTGTGTTTTCAGTAGAGACGGAGTTTTACCATGTTGGCCAGGCTGGTCTTGAACTCCTGACCTCAAGTGATCCACCCACCTTTGCTTCCCAAGGTGCTGGGATTATAGGCATGAGCCACCATGCCCAGCCCTTTTATCTTAAAGAAGTGTAAATTAATAGCTAATAATCAAAACCATAAATATACGAAAACTATTAACCCCTCAAAATAGCTGAATCCTAAAAAAAGCCAAATGTACTGCCAAAATAAAGTCAATCTCTTGATGCTAAACATTTCTCTAAATGTAGAAATAGGCCTTAATATAAAGTTGAAATATCCAAACATGAGTTCTAGTCTGAACACCACAAATTGTGCAAAATCTATTCTGTTTTTTTCTTGAAACCCACTGATTCTTCCTTCTGGTTTAGTTTTCTCATATAAAAACCAAAAACCATGACTTATGGACAGCTTACCATTCTTTTTCTTTTCTTTTCTTTTCTTCTTTTTGGAGGGGAGACAGTCTCATTCTGTCACTGAGGCTGGAGTGTACTAGCACAATCTCGGCTTGCTGCAACCTCAACCTCCACCTCCCGGGTTCAAGTAATTCTCATGCCTCAGCCTCCCTAGTAGCTGGGATTACAGGTGCGCACCACTCCACCTGGCTAATTTTTGTATTTTTAGTAGAGACAGGGTTTTGCCATGTTGACCAGGCTGGTCTTGAACTCCTGAACTCAGGTAATCCACCTGCCTCAGCTTCCCAAAGTGTTGAGATTACAGGCTTGAGCCACCATGCCAGCCCAGTTTACCATTCTTTTTATTTATTTTTTTTGAGACGGAATTTTGCTCTTGTTTACCCAGGCTGGAGTGCAATGGTGCAATCTCGGCTCACGGCAACCTCTGCCTCCTGGGTTCAGGCAATTCTCCTGCCTCAGCCTTCTGAGTAGCTGGGATTACAGGCACGTGCCACCATGCCCAGCTAATTTTTGTATTTTTAGTAGAGACAGGGTTTCACCAGGTTGACCAGGATGGTCTCGATCTCTTGACCTCATGATCCACCTGCCTCGGCCTCCCAAAGTGCTGGGATTACAGGTGTGAGCCACCGTACCAGCCCAGTTTACCATTCTTACTTGCTTTTTCCTCTCAAATACTACACCTTTGATCGTGTTTTCATAGTTTTGTTTTTCTGACCTCCCAATCAATAGTACCTGTTCCAGGAAACTCCCATTTTTCTTAGCTGTCTCTCTCTTGGGTCCCTTTATTCTTTGGCTCCGACTTTCTCAGCCTGCTGCTTAGCTGCTTTACTCGATTTCCCATTCACTGTTCTTCTCAATTGAATCTTTTGTTTCGTGGATCCCATTCTTTTTCTTCTTGGTTGATTTCCTCCTTCTTCTAGAGCAATGTCTTAGTGTATGTGGCAATTAAATCCTGAGTCTGTTCATGATTTAAGGTGCTTTTATTCTTCCCTTATACTTGATTGATACTTAGGGAGAAAATCAAATTTACATAAAATTTGTATTTTAACCATTTATTCTTGCTGATGCAAAAATTGGTGCTAGGCTGAGTCTTTTCCATCTTTAGGTGACTTGTTCTTTTTTCCTTTTTTTTCCCTTTTTATCTTTAGATTCTTTGTTTTATTATTGGTCCTTGGAAATTTCACAGAGTTGTGGGAACTCTTTTTACTTTGCCATCTCTGTACTTGATGTATACCCTTTAAGTTTAAAGGTTATCGGCCCTGGGAAATTTTCCTTTTAAATTATTTTAAGGCTAGGCACGGTGGCTCACATCTGTAATCCCAGCACTTTGGGAGGCCAAGGCAGGTGAGTTACTTGAAGCCAGGAGTTCCAGACCAGCCTGGGTGACACGATGAAACCCCATCTACAAAAAATACAAAGTAAGCTGTGTGTAATAATGTGCACAGGTAGTCCTAAATACTCTAGAGGCTGAGGTGGGAGGACTGATTGCAGGGCCCAGGAGTTCGAGCCCCCAGTGAGCTGTGATCACCACTGCACTTCAGCCCAGGCAACAAAGTGAGACCCTATCTCATAAAATACAAAAGAAAAGAGAGTCTGGGAAGAGTGTGTTTATGATATTGATGTCACTCAAAGCTGTATGGTTATGTGGATGATGAAGCAGATACTAAACTGAAGGTTAGGGTAAGAGTTAGAGGAAGAGGAATCATTTCAATTACAAAATGAATGAGTAATTGTTTTCGACACCAATACCTACGCTAGCAGGTTTTTGTTTTTATTTTGTTTTTGGAGATGGAGTCTTGTTCTGTTGCCCAGGTTGGAATCCAGAGGTTGGCTCACTGCAACCTCTGCCTTCCGAATGCAAGCGATTTTCCTGCCTCAGTCTCCTAACAGGGAT